AATACTAAGGTCACATAAAAGTCCTATGAGTTGCAAACTTTTTCCAAATATTTAACACATACTACTTAAGATTCGAACTAAAAACTATTTATTAAGTTAAAATATTATTAGAGAATCTATAACTTGTGTTCACGTAAATATCAAGCAAAAATATTGGTGTATTTTTTTAATATCAACATTTAATACGAGTTTTATAAAAAAAACAAATAAAAAGGTGGTGTTCAATTAAATTTGTATATTCCATAAAAAAAAAACACTCGAAGTTGCAAATTGCAATAGAACAATTGTGCTCTTCGTATAAGGAAAACAATAGGTTGAATAATATTCATTCCCCAATTTGTTATTTATAAATTTACTTAGATTTTAAAATGTAACCAAAATCAGTTTTATTAATGCTCACCTAAACACACAGCAAAAGTCCAAAGTTTGCGCGTAAATATATATACATTATTTAAGAGTTAGAAAAAATAATAATTTATGTTAAATTAAAATGTTATCCACGTTACATTTTAAGTGTATAATAAATAAGTTTATCCATTATAGACTCTTAGAATTTATTTTAAAAATAATTCAATTAATTTAGCCTAACTAAGGTTATCCTAAATTAACTCAGGCTAAAAGTTTAAAATATAATAATAAAATTTAGCGACACCTACCCTAAAATCAGCCGCTCATATAATCAAATTCTAGTTAATGATACTATTAAAAATTTAGATATGAGTTAAATATTTTCATAATATTTTTTCTTATGACCATTGTTACTTTGACAGAATTTCTTTTACACATATTTGACACTATTCCTCCCTCTCCTTCACTTTTTTTTATATATATAAAAAAATACAAAAGTTAACTTTCATTTTATCTCTATTAAAGTTGTTAAATAGTTTTTTTTCCTTTTTTTTTCATTTCACCGTTAAATTGCTTAAAAAAAAATACATATAAAATCAATCTTTCATGTGAAAAACTCAAAATTTGGAGTTAGTATTGTATTACTAAGAGCGCTTATTGAAAAATAGTCATTTCAACAATCTATTCCCATTATTAAGGAAATGGTCTTTAGTCACCTATCAAAATCAATTGTTGTTTAAGTTATAATTTAGATTTATTTCTAAAAGTCAATTATTGTTTTAATTAGTAGCTAATTGTCATGTCATTGTTATATAATAATGATTATGTGAATAAATTCATTGGACATAACATCAATAAGATATAAACCACATATCGAATCCAAAATCTTAGGTTTATTGATATTTTTTTCTTATAATATGTTTAATTTTTTCACTTTTTACTCAATGTGGAACTTAAATTTTTATTTTCAATCATTTTTTTTTCTAGTGTGAATTATTTCAAATTAGTACACATTCCTCTCAAGCTAACCACTTTATCTCTACTTACAAAAGAAAAACACGTTTCTTCGACCCTCTTAAGAAGATTGTAGTTCACATAATAGAATACTCTTCTTGAACCTCCATTGAAATTTTTTTTATACATGTGACATATTATCCTCGTTTGAGTTAATATTTGGTTATGCATTAGTTCAAAAAGGAGACATGATTATGATTATTTTTCATATTAAATTATGGTTAACGAATTGTAGCATATTCAGATGCACTATAAAAGGGTGAATTATAGGTTACGGATGAGAACCATAACGTATAATACCAATAAGCTACATATGACGAGAAAATCGTAGTTTATAAGGTTAAGTTTTATTTTTATTTTCATTTTAAGAAAGTTATAATAGGTTATAGTTGGATGAAAAAACCATAGCCTATTCATGACTATATGTTACAATTTTTTTATCCAACACTAGTCTATTACAATTTTTTAAAAACAAAATATTTTTATTTTAGCAACTCCAAACTCAATTAAATAACTTGAACAATTAACTCAAGATTTAACAACAAAAAATAAACCATTGTGAACAAGAAAAACGTAGGAGGGTAGTGCTTAAAGCATATAATGCTTGAACTTGATTGCGTAGTGTTTGAATGTTTGTGAAAAAACTTAGTAACCAAAGAATATGCTACATTTATCTTAAATAGCGTAACATATATTCTGGTAGCCATGGTTGCGGTTGCTAATAGAATTGTAATTTTTTTTTTAACTAGAGTATATATTACGATTATTTAAGAGAATGCGAGAATTTACAAATGACGCAAAACATGATAAGAGATGATTTTAACTATATAATAAATTGACATTACTTTAGCCCACAACCTTAAAATAATATATTTATGAATATTCTCCTTTAGAGAGTGTTCAACCATCGTCTCTATTTAATATAAAATATAGATACATTTAAATTTTCAATACAAATAGAAACTATATTTTTATTACTATTTTTAAATTATCGATATTAGTTACATGTTAAATTTAACCAATGCTTTTGATAAAAAAAATATGAACGTGATTTTAATCATTGTTTTTTTTAAATTGATTGAAAATTTTATTGCAAAATTAGAAAAATTAATAAAAAAAATTGGTAATAAATTTTGTTGTAAATTATTTAATTATTATTATTGATGACTATTTTATTTTTAAAATGATAATATTTTATACCGGTTAATATAAATGAAAAATTAATAAGATATACCACTGAATTAAATGACTTTTAGTTCTCAAATATATCCATAATATTTCATTTCAAAATTATATCATTATAATAAAAGAAATAAAATTGTTACGTCAATATAACGTGAAAGTGGAACAGATTATAGACAAACCAATTAAAACTGATAAGTCAGATCAGTGATTGAATTGAATTAATGTAAGATAAGAATATAAAAAGAGTGTAACGAGAGATTTAGATTGAGAAAAAAGAGAGTACAAAGTGAGATGATTTGAATGGAGAAAAAGCGCGTAAAAAGTTAAATAGAAGAAAAATTGTGCTGGAGCTTATTGATGTGATAGAATAAATTTGATTATATATTAATATATTTAGAACATCTGTAAAACATAAATTATAAAAAATTTAAATAAAGTTAAAATAAAATATAATTAAAATAAAAATTATTATCAATTTTAATAAATAAAAAAATACATTTCAGAATAAAAATATATTAAATAAATCCTTTTATTAGTTCTTTTAATATTTTTATTTATCTTTTACATATACGAAATGAATTTTGATTTAATTTTATTATTTTAATGTTTTTTTATTTTAATTATTCATTTTATTATAATAATAAATATATTTATAAATATTATTTATATTCATATATTTTAATTTTAATTATTTATTATGATGAAATAAAAAAAACATATATTTTATTATATTTTATTTTATTTTAATTGATTACACGTTTTTGTTTAATTGATTAATTTTTTTCTTTCACAGATCAAATTAATAAAGTATTTATAAAAAATGACTTTCTTTGGACGTCGTATAAATGGAAACTATGTATTTATAAATGGAAAATATATAAAAAGAATTAATGACTCGAAGAACAATGAATTTGGATGTAGTATAGGCACTAACCAACAAAAAAAAAATCAATCCAATTTTCTTATGGTAAAATAGGAAAAAAATATATTTACCACCTATATTAATTATTAAAAAAGATAAAAATATTTTGAGAATAGTTCTTAATTTTAGATGCTTTCTCATCTTTATTTAATGTGAAACTTAGACTCACACTTGAATTACACTCCCCTTTAGCGATAACATTTTCAACCAACCATAGTCACAAGTAGCAATGGATTTATTGACGAGGGAGTTCACAGGGAGACAAAACCACCAATGAGACATGAGTCCAACCACATAAAGGGATCGACACCATTCTCTATCAAAAATCTTAAGGCAATGGATTAGTGAGTCTTTCACCTCTATATAATACTCTATTTTCTCATTTTTATTTAATGACTCACACACTTGATTCCCAACACTCAAATCCTACACAAGTCTTTTAATAATTTTAAGTATCATAAATATTATTTTAATGCCAAAACTTGATTTTTTAGTGACTGAGAGAACAATGAACTTGGACGTTGTAATAGGAAAAAAAATAATTTTTACCTCCTATATTAATTATAAAAAATGATAAAATATTTTGAGGTTAGTTCTTAAATTCCACGTCTTTTAATAACTTTTGAATAAATATACGAAGTATTTTTGATACTATAACTAATTATCATCTATGTGTTGGGTCTAACAATGAGTAGGTTCATAAGGAGACATAAACACCAATAATAACATCTAAGTCCAATTATATAAAAGATTGACACCACTCTTTACCCAAAACCTTAAGATAATGAGTTAATAATCTTCTATCTTTATACAATGTTCTTCTTTCTCATTTCTGTTCGATGTGAGACTTAGACTCATATAAATGAATAGTGATTAATCAAATGTAGAAGAAAATTGTAGATGTTAGATGTGATAAAAAAATAACTCTGGCCAAAAAAATAAAAAAATGGCGATGATAGATTTTTTTTATCAGAGTTATCAATTATGAATAATTAATATAATTAACTGAGATTTAGGTAGAAATAATCAACCAATAAAATTAAAGTTATTCCTTTTTTCAGGTAGTGGGCGTTTAGACCAGTATTTATTAATTAGTAAAATAAGTTTACTTATAATAAAAAATTATAATTTTCTTTTGTAAGTATTTAATGTCAGTAGTACAAAAGTCTATTATTTTCAGGATTTATCGTCAAATTGCTGGTCAAGTCTTCAACAAAAAATCATCATTTCTAGTATCAATTAATTGAAACACATTTTTAATAAATGCTGAAATCTCAATATAAATTAATAAGGCAAGAACTTTGAGAATTGACTCGTGTATTTTAAATTAAAAAATATATATTTCAAATCCCAAATAAATTGGTTCCTTGATGAAATTAATACCATGCATTAGTAAGAAAAATAAATTAATACGAAAGTGAATAAAAAAGAAAAAATTGACAGAAACACGTTATAAAGTGGCGAAGGAAACAGCAACTATACAAGCGCATGCACACTCATTTTCAGAATCTCTTTGAATTCCTTCACGACAATGGCCAACAACTTTAGCACCACCCTCTTCCCTCTCTCGGCTTCAAACGCAGTTCAAAAAAGCGAAGCTTTAACGGTGAAAGGAATGAGCCAACTTGGGTTGAGCCAAAGGGTCAAGAGTCTCAGAAAAATCTCATTGGCCGCGAAAAGAAGACCAGCGATGTTTCATGGCACTGAAAAAGGGAAGGGCAAAGAGGTTCTGAGGGCCCACTTTTCGGATCTGTCACCAACTTCTCTAGATGTTGATGGTGGCGACACTGAGAGCATCTTACGAAAGAGTCAGATAGTGAGAGAAAAACTGGAAAATGCAGTTTGCAACACTCGCACTGAGGAGAATAATAAGAAAGCCAAGGAAATGCTGCAAGCCAAACTTCTCTTAGCATTCGCTTCTGAAAGTGATGCTGCTGTCGGTGAAACTTCCTCAACACCCCAAAGGGGAAGTTTTTTGAACCATTTTGCTTATCCCTTTCCGAACCGTAGCAGTGCCCATTTTTCGCAGGCAGACACAGAGGTTGACAAAAGCATCACCCTTTGTGCAACTCCATTGAGGGTTTGTTTGCCCGGCGAAAGCGTTTATGGGGGGCAGAAGACGAGAAACGGCAGCGTGGGTGAAGCGGTTGAGGATGTTTGTTGTAGCAGGGGCGATGCGAGCGAATACGACGGTCGGATGCACAGCAATCCGTACAAGAAGAACGGGCCGTACACGTGTCCGAAGTGCGGGTGCGTGTTCGAGACGTCGCAGCGGTTTGCGGCGCACGTGAGTTCGAGGCACTACAGGTACGAGACGAAGAGTGAGAGGAAGAAGAGAATGATGGCGAAAATCCGAAGGAGGAGTGTGCGTCTTGAATGGGAAAACGGTGCACTGAGTGTTGTTGGTGACGATGGTTGTAGAAGAAATAGCAGTGTCTTTGCTCCTGCTGAAGTGAAGATTGAAACTGAGAGTGTTGTGAGGCTTCAGCTTGCTCCTCCTCCTGGATGGCCAAAAATAACTGAAGCTGTCAGAATAAAATTGGAGCCATTAGACAATTGAATCAAATGCTTTGTTTTATTGTTATTCAGAGGATCATCAGGAGCAGTTTGCACTACTTCTTATCAGTCTTCACCATTTGTTTGCGTTTTCTGTTTCAATAAATACTGGATTCTCACATTCTTGTTTGATGATGCTTCATGAACTCAGATCCATTTCTAATTCTTCTCGAAACTTTAGGATAACCATAATTTCACAACATTTTAATATTATTTATAATGTGATTGATGCAAAATTATTTTAAATTAATAATAATAATCATAAATATCAACAACAATTATATAATAATAAATAATAATTAAGAGTTAAAATATTGTTAAAAAAATATTTTAAAAATATTATTATCATTTTTCCTAATAAGTGTTGTTTCAATGAAAACTTGTGTTTTTCGGATACTTATCTCAGTGAAAAATATATTTTAAATTATGTAGTTTATATTATATAAATTTTTAATCAGAATTATATTTTGGAATATAAATTGTTTTTAAATTGCATAGTCTGAAATAATGCAATACATATCATTATTCAGGATCCCGTAATTCTTAATACATTTTCTATTTTGCATTTCAGAATATAAATATGTATTATAAGTTGTATTTCGAATTGTTTTTCTAATTTGTACAATTTAAAATTCAAAATATATTGTGTAATATAAGTTTATATTCTAAAGTATACATTATAAAATATAAAAATATTAATATTAATGTTTAACATTTTGGATTGTTAATCATTGTGTAAAGTCGTTTAAACTTACGGTAGTACAGGTTGAGGGTGCAGAAAAAAATGTCCCAAAATTAAATTTGAAGTCCAAAACCTAATAAAGAAATTTAAATTGCTCCCTGCAACCCTATGATATTTGAAACACCTGTTTTACCGCCATGGAGTTTTATTTCAAACGGTTTTCTCTTAGAAGTTGTATTTTGCTGTTGGTTGAAAGTTGAAGAGAAGTACTCCAGAAGCAGTTTTGAAATCACATAGGCCATGCTAATGTTTTTTCTTTTTAAGTTTTAGGGTAAAGAATTATTAATAGGAAGTCGAAGTCTGAAAAAAAAAAATCAAAACATTACTTAAAAAGTAAAATTAGAAAAAATATATACAATAAAGAAGAAAAATTTCCTTTATATATAATAATATAAATAATCTATAATGACCACAAAAATTAAATCTGAGAACAATATTTTTTTTCCTTATTTTAATCTCAATTTTTTAGTAAACAATAAATTGACAAGATAAAGAAAAAGTTACGAGAACTTTAACCAATAATTGTTACAATAACAATAATAAAAAAAAATCACACCTATTTTGGTCTAGTGCATGATTAAAAAGATTTTTATTAAAACTAATTATTGGATACGCTTTGTTTTATTATGTAGCTAGCATATAGTTCGTTACAAATATTTCACATAATTTAAATGCAAGTTCATTCCGGTGTAAGACAATAATAAGCTTTGTACTGTAATAGCTGCTGATTGGAAGAAACCACAAATAGAATTTTCGAACATGGAAATATGTTGAATATGTTGTGACTTGCTAATCCTCAAAAATAGGGAAAACAAAACAAGCACGAATAGAAAACATTTTCATGACAATATTTTACTAAAGAATGCAGGGCAATAAGTAAACTGGAATACAAGAAAATTCAAAACTGATATTGCATACATTAAACCCAATGCTACATCAAACGATTTAAATATAGCATACACTATATAATTCATGATACAACTATTCACAATGCTGGCCGCCTATAGAAAATCTATACTTCACACAAGAAGATTTACTAACGCTCAACCTATCCACGAAATCTAAAAGGCATCATTTATAGTATCTGGATCAGGAACAAGGCATGAGCCAAATACAACTATCATATCCCAGTATTTGGATTGTTCCCAGCTAGAATTAGAGAAATTTCTAACCCTCGGCTAAAAGCCTGGTTAAACATGAGGCGAGTTTGGAATGTTGATACAAAAGGGAACCACGAAAAGAGTGCAATGGGTACAAAGATGAGCATTCCCATACCAGCGTCATATAGTCGAGCAATTGATCGAACAGATTTCCATAGTCCTAGCTTCTTCATCAGAGGCTTCCATGCAGCAGCAATCTGAAAAGAAACATTATAATTAGAAGGTAAGAGTGGAATTTATCCTCCTGCTTGGATGCCAGCTTGACGACACGAAACTCATGTGGCAGTTTCATTTATTTTTTGTTTCTACTTTTAGCTGACATGTTTCACTGATTATTCAAAGAGAAAAATTTGACCACATGACATGTTTTCTCGTTTAACTCACTGCTTGTAGTTAAACGCAAAACAATTTTGATCATAAGAATCAAACTCCAAAGAAAGCTGTTCGAAAGCTACTTTAATTGGCTTATCAGGTTTCTTCTAAGTGTCTTAGAGAGGGCTATCAACAAAGAGGCGACCTAGAAAGGTTTGTTTGAGTGCAGCAGCTTCCAAGTAAATTTCCTATGGAGCTGAGATACTACCATGACTGCAAATATTACTAATGTAGATCTTATCAAATCAGTTCTGGGAAATTAAGCTTTAAGCATAAATTCAAATATTGCATCAGAACTTATCTATGGTTGGACCACCTATACTGTGGACACCCCAAGCCTGCCTTAATTGCAGTCTATAAGAGTTGGTTGCTGGTGTTTCAAAAAGGACTAACAATGGATGGGTTTGACCAGAGAAGCTGAGAAGCATCCTAAGGTGCAGCCGTGGTGATGTTAACCCTCAAATGGTTTACAGATCCTATTATTGACTCGACATATACGATAGTCCTTATAAAGCCAAGAAAGTCCCTATCTTATAATCCCTTTTTCTTATATTGAATTAAGCGCCAAGCCCAAATGTTAAGACAACCTAATTGTGTAAAATAACAAATAATAGCATATAGTTTAGAGGAAAAGAAAACTCACAGACAGAATTCCCCATCCAGTAGGAATGAAAGCCAACATAGAAGCAAATACGTCAGGTAAAGACAGCTCAGTCAATAGAACTGCTACAACCAAACCAGCCAGTGCTAACAAAAGGGAGACTCCTTGTATAAAGCGCAAAAGAAGCTGGAAATTGACTGATATCTTCTGGCTGAATGTGAACACCTAATGTGCAAGAATAAAAATAGGCATGAAGATGCAAAGTTACCATGTACAGTTAGATGAAAGTCGACACAGTGCATATTTTTCACCTTGAAAAGAATTATGAGCACTGCCAGAACTACCCACGAAAGTCCATAAACCTGTACAAAATGTGAAAATAAGCAGTCAGTTCACAAACCAGTGCACATTCTGTACATGCAGATACATAAACAAAACTGTTTCAACTTTTGACTTTGGACCCGGTTATCTACTGGACGGACCCTTCTATTCAAATAGGACACCTTCTAAGCTTTGAATAAAAAATATAGAAAAAAAATGTAAAATATAGATTCATTAATCAAGTATTATTTTATAATCAAGATATTCTAGAAACAATTTTATTTTATTATTGGTCATGAATATCTCTATTCATGATATGATTCAATTATTGATTCAGTAAGCTAGCCTTCCAATTCATGATTTTTATCACGATCAAGGCATAGGGTACATGTCACACGATTAGGATTTTTATCCGGTCCTTCTGGGCGGAGATGGCAACCTTGTAGATCTTGCTTATCGAGGGTTCCACCACAAGGCAGAGAAAAGTGAAGGCATTATTTCGGGGATAGACAGCCTCGCCAAGGGAGGACTTGGCACGGCAGTGAGGCTCTAGAGCATCAAAAGTGAGGGCACCATTCAACTTCAACTCCACAAACCATTTGCGTAGAAGGTGTGCACTGCTCCCAGAAATTCTGGCAACAATGAATGAAGGCTGGCAACAGGGGAGAGTCAGTAAAAGAATGTAACGTGGCAAATGTAAGACATAACTATGGATAACCGAATGGCTATAATTTTGGTCCACGTAGCCTTCATCCTTAAAAAATGGAATAAGGGGTTTGACAATTTTAGACATAAAGTCAGCTGAAAACTGTCTACAAATGATGGGAAATATCAACATTGCAGTACTAATTGTATAGCAAAAGCAATGTATAGACAATAAAATCTACTGCATCCCAATAGGACAAGGATCTCCAACTGCTGTTCATCAACTCAACAAACATTTTCCCTCAGCTAAAGCTTACTAAACTCTAACAGCTTGCTTGTCTTCGAAAGTTGACTCTGAACTTAACTTTGGACCAACCGACTTATAAGATAATGTTTGTACTCCACTTATATACTATAATTTGATCATATCTCTAGTCAATATAAGATCTATAAGACTTTAATTCCAAATAAACCTTTCTGAGAAAAGAACAGAAAACATGTGTACCACCATACATGGCTTAGTGATGTTGCATGTAAAAGAGACTAAAACTGCTACAAAGGCAAGAAATCAATTTGAAGATTTAGTTGGAATTTGAGTATTGTATGACAAAGGAAGAGATTTATCTGAAGTGATTCATTTGCTGCAAGGATATCCAGACAAGCAAATTATATAAAAAGTCCACTACCACAAACACCACCACAAATGGTAACGATTAAGCTTGAGGTGTAGATAAAGTCAAGGAAAAATGTAAGAGAAAGAAAAATTTGTTAACTAATCCAGCCAATTGATACGGGCAGGAATGTTTGCATAGGATAGATTTAATCACATGAGAGAAAAAATATATTCACTTCAGATGGAGAAAGTGAAGTTCAGACAGATAAGATACAAAGTGTGATAGCCAAAATATGAGATGGGGAATTGAAATTAGATTCTGAATTAGGTATCAAATTTCCTCCAAATTGAATATCCTGCATTCTGCAAAGTGGAATATACAAAGCAGAGATTATACAGAGTTGAAGACTTGGAGAGTGAAGCAAAAACAGACACCTTAAAGCTGAAAAAATTTAGAAAACAAAGATGCTGTTGAAATAGGTGATATTATTTTGTTGTACAGATTTATAAAAGTGGTTTTTGGATGTACCTAGCCTTAGGTCAAGGATGGCAAATGATAGA